TTCTCTCTCTCTTTTTTGTCTTTTTTCGTGTCCGGCAATGGATCGCAACCCTCAGTGTCGCGCCCGTACCAGACCGGGACCGGCAACGGGAGTGCAACCCTCGGCGTTTCCCCCGCACCTCGCTCAGCCAGTGAGCGGCCGGTCTGTATGTGGGATCCGAACCCTCGGCGGGAGCGCCGCCGCGCTTCCCAAGCGGCACACTGTAGCAGTGCGCCACCAGGCCAGCCCTAAGCCTCCTTTTATCTAAGACTTTTAAAGAACATATGAATAGGGACAGAAGAATGAGATGATGTAATCTCGAGGAGGGCAAATAAATAACTACTGAATACTTCTAAGTGCCTACCACATGCCTGGGACTATTGTAGTCACTTTGAATAAACTACTTTCTTTAATTCCTATCATCATCTTAATGTTATAGAAGATAGAACTGAGGCACAGAGTGGTTGATGACTTGCCCAAGGTCACACAGCTACCAAGACACAGTCAGAATTTGAACTTGGGCAGACTGATGACAGAGCCCAGGCTCCTAATATTGTTGTTCATTCTCCTCCACCAAGAGAGGACGTACATGAGATCGTAGATGGCTGGGGAAGCAGTTGGGTGGGAAGCTGGCAAGACTCCAACTTGTCAGGAAGCTGAAGAGCTCAGGAGGCTGGAGAGAGAAAATGCATGCCTGAGAAAGAGGTGTGAGGACAAGGGCCCCCAAGAGCAGAAAAGTGAATGACAGCCACTTCCTCCTTCTGCGGTCTGAGCCATTTGCCTGTCCCAAGAGTAAGCACAGAGGCTCCTTCCCCATCCACCTGAGGTCTCCCCGTGGAAAGGAATTGTCCTCCTGGTCAACCCCCAGGGACAGCTGGCTCCCATCTTCTCTTCCTGTGCCTGGCACTGCCCTTGAATCTCCAGAGATCTTGAGGTGTATGTCCACCTAGGAAATAGTCGCTTCTACTCTCTCTTCCTCCTCTGACAGCTCCTCCAGCCCAGGCAGCTCAGGGTCAAGGCCCCTTGTAGGGTCAGGTGCTGTGGGCAGGGTCAGGGCTGAGGCCGATTCTGAACCTGTTTCCCTGTCCCTGGGATCTTTCCCTCACAGGCCATGGAATTATTTGGTGGGATCAAGGAAGCCCTCCTCGCCCGCCTCAAGAGTCTTCCCTGGATGAATGAAGAGGCCCGGAAAGAAGCCCAGGACAGGGTAAGGCCAGCACAAGGGCCCGGGTGGGAACGGGTAGGGGTGGAAAAGAGCATTGGATCCAGAGACTGGAGGAGAGCGCTAAAGACACGAGGGCACGGATGGCCTGGTGACAATATGAAAGACTGGGGCAAGGGCGATGAGAAGGAGAAATGCCCTCTGATGGCCTCGGGAGGACAGTGAGGTTCCTACCACCTCTTGTGTCTCTTCCCAGGTTATCAAACTGCAGGTGGAGATTGGGGCCCCGGAATGGGCCCTGAAGCCAGAACTGGCCAGGCGAGAATACAGCGATGTGAGTCCCTGTCCTGTCCAGCTCCTCCCTGCTCCTTGACTTCTCCTCACCTCCCTGACCCACCTGAGTCTGTTGGAGAAACACATTTCCCTGGGTGATTCTGATCAACCCCTTTTTTGTCCTGGGGCGGGCTGGGCTTTAAGAGGGAATACCCATGTGGGGGAGGGTTGTTGGCAGAACAGAAACTTTATAGGTCCCCATGTATATACACACACGCACATGTGTGCGTTCTGTGACTTGTCTTTATCTATGTGCTGATTCGTGAGAAGCACCAGCATGCTGTGGTACCATTGTGCTGGTCTCCACTGATCTGTGGATGTCTGTGTGTCAGGGCTTACCAGTTTGGGTTCAGATGGACCCAGCAGCATATGTCAGTGTACATCTACATTTGTCTCTGCGTACCCAAGTCATCTCTTGCCTCCTCTCCAGATACAACTTGGACCTAGCTTCCTGCAGTCTTTCCTGAGTTGTGTCCGATCCCTCCAAGCTAGAACTGTCCGGAGCTTCTTGCAGCCTTCCCCTCACCACAGGTACGTGAGCACGGAGACACAGACACTCCATCCTGGAGATACCCACCCATGATTAGTAGGACAGGAAGCTGGGGATCAGTGACAGTAGTGGGGGTCCTGCCTATGTCAGGGGGATAATAACTGATGGAGCTGGTGTTTATATGTGCTCTTCCCACAGATGGAAGGTGTCCCCCTGGGAGGTCAATGCTTATTATTCAATATCTGACCGTGTGGTAGTCTTCCCAGCTGGACTCCTCCAACCCCCTTTCTTCCACCCTGACTACCCCAGGTATGAGCCCTTCTATGAGGGTGGGTAGGGAGTTTCCCAAGAGGGAAGGACAAGTGTTCTGATAGATGGGACTTGTGGCTGGAGAATTGGGGTCAAACATGTAGAAGGGTTCTGAAGGTAAGACAAGCCCTTGTCTCCCTAGAGCTGTGAACTTCGGCGCCGCAGGCAGCATCATGGCCCAGAAGCTGTTGCACAGCCTCCACCAGTTCTGTGGGTAACAGGGCCAGTGGGAGGTGGGGCCATGGGAGCCCGAGGGGAGGCCTCCCAGGAAGGCTGTGTGGAAAAGGGAGGTTATTGGTGGGCTCCAGGTGGCACAGTCCCTGAAACTTTGCAGTGCTCCTGGGATGTGGGAGCTAGATCGGTCTGTGGTACCTCCATGTCCCCAACCCTTCACGATCCCTCATGGGCCCATTCCCTTGCCCCATTTTCAACAGTACTGCCCGGGGGCTGCCAGGCCTGTGACACCCATGCCCTACAGGGGACACGCCTGTGCCTGGAGAGCCATTATGCTGCCTTCCCATTACCCAGAGGAACCTCCTTCAATGGCTCCCACACGTTCCTGGAGGATGCTGCAGACGTCGGGGGGCTGGCCATTGCACTGCAGGTAACTCATTCACTGAGGGCCTCGATCTGTTTTTACCTGCAGACTAGAAACCCTGTCCTCAAGTTTTCCTTCCATCATCTCTCACGCAAACACAGTTGCATAGCTTTCTGCCCTTCACATCCCCACTGGACAGATGTCAACGTGAGGATCCCCCTACCCCGTAGATCCCCCATTTTCTAGGACACCTATAGGCCTCCTGGCAGCTACCCTTTCTTCTGGCTCAGACGAGTGTGTCAGTGCAGAACTTGTGAAGAAGGGCCATGAACTGATCCTGGGTACAGTGTGAAGGGCACTGAACTTCCAAATAGCCACTAGTCTGGAGCTGGAGCCTGAGGATGACTCTCCATCCCACCCCTATATCCAGGCATACAGAAAGAGACTATTAGGGTGCCATGGGGACACCACTCTGCCCAACCTGGACCTCAGCCCCCAGCAGCTCTTCTTCCGAAGCTACACCCAGGTAGGCAGCTGCCACCTCCCGCCACAGCTTGCTTCATATCAGATAAATATCCTAGTACTAATGCTCAAAGACCTCTCCTCCCCAAAACACGCTTCCCAAATGCCCTCGACCCTCTGCCACACGTCCCCCACATCGTGCTTCCTAACTTGTCCCCTCAATCATTCTTCACATCACTACAGGTTCTTCTAGCAAATACAATCCCCCAACGCCACTCAAAAAGGAGAAAAACCTCTCCTTCCAGGTCCCTCCATGAGATGAGCCCAACTTGCTTCTTCTCTCATGCCCCAGCAGTGCAGACCCCTTAAATGTGAGCCTGCAGCAGGCTGAGTGCCACATTCCCCCTAAGAGACCTCACCTCCAGGTGGGGGCTCAGTTTTTTGACATAACCCCCCCCTTGAGCACCTTGTGTTCCCTCAACGGACATAGTCCCCAATTCCTCAACACACTTAAAGACCCCCTCACAGGTCTCCTCCATGAGACCCCCTCTCGGTCATTTATACATGGTGTGATTACACAGCGCCAGACTCCTATCGCCTGGTGAAACGATTTTCAAATGGCAAATACTCCGTGTGGCCTCTAAACATTCTATTCCCTGCTCCCCCTCTGTCTGATCCCCCTGGTCCCCCCTCGTCACCAGGCCTGCCGTGTCCTACTGACTCTGATAACCTGCCCTTCTCCTTACACTTTGTTGGCCTCTCTCCCCAGGTGATGTGTAGGGGGTCTGGCCCCCAGGACTCTCAGGACACCCACAGTCCTCCCACACTTCGAGTCCACGGGCCCCTCAGCAACACTCCAGCCTTTGCCAGACACTTCCATTGTCCAAATGGCACCCTCCTGAACCCCTCCAGCCACTGCCAGCTCTGGTAACCTGGCTCACGAGAAGCCGGCAGCACACATGTATCAACATCTCCCTGGCCCCATCCAGAGAGGCAGGACAATATCTCCTGCCCCTTTCAGAGATAAAATAAAAGCTAGCACCTGGCTTTTGCCTGTCTCTTAATGACTCTTTCCTGCTATCTTCTAAGCATGCAAGTCAGAAATAAAGGGAGGGGCAAAATGCCTAGGGGTCAGAAACGGTAAGAGGGAGAAAACACCTAGAAGTCACGAAAGATAAGAGGGGAAAAATGCCAGAAATGTTTGACGGACACAAGAAAGAGAAAGCACCAAGAAGTGAGCTGGTGGTTTTAAAGGTCGCTCAGTGGACCAAAGTTCAGGCAATTAGACCACCTAGGCAGAGACAAGAGGGCTTGGGATAAGTCTCAGAAAGCTTCCCCCAATTGTCTTCAGGATTTTATTGCTGTTTTATTGTTGCTGCCTCTTCCCCCTAATCTATGGTTCTGAACAAAACCAGGAGAGGTGAGGGAGAAAGGGCATAGGTCGGGTGTCTCTGGCCCTGGGAGATGCAGCTCTGGGCTTGGGGAGGCCAGCAAGCCATGGTGTAGGTGATCAATGTCTCTGCTGCTGCTCCCTGCAGGGAGATGCACGTCCCCTTTAGGAGCAGTGTACTGGAGCTGTTGTTGGGACGGGGTCAGTAAGCAACCATGAAGTGCAGGTAGATATTCAGGTCTTCATCCAGGATCCAGTCCACCACCTCGTCCTCCACATCCCTCATAAAAAAACCATGATGCTGGCCAGGTTGAAGCAGAAGGCTAGGTGTAAAAGGTGGTCCCTGATAGCTGCTGCCTTGGATGGCTGGTCTTCCTCTTGCTGGGCCATGTCCAACACTTGCCACATCTCACCCACTGATGAGGCCACAAAGTACTCTTCGAACTGCTCTTGATTCTGGTCTGGAACAGGGGAGAGGGCAGGGACTGACATCCCTGATCCTGACCTGCCCCCACCCTGACCTTGGCCTGAAACCAGGAAGGGGAAGAGTCAGAGTATAGGAAAAGAGTTGAGGCCAAGGGATTTTGGCCCAATTGCCCATATTCTTGGCCTTGATCAGAAAAGTGGTGGACTCTTTATCCAGAGGCCTTTTCTGATCTGTGTTCACCACAGCCCCAGTACAAACACATACCCTATTTCTAGTGCTAGCTGCCTCCTCCAAGCTGTTACACTGTTTGGGGAGTGAGGTACCACCTTCAAGTACAAAGAAAACCAAAGACCCTCCTTCTCAGACAAAGGCACCCATAATCCCACACACAATGTCAGCTGGCTCAAGTGTGTCCCTGGATCAGAGCCCTGCTCCAGACTCTGTTCCACGACACTATTATTTCACACTATAATAACAGGGGGCTGGAATTACTGCCTATAACCCAAACTCATTTCAGATCTCACCTTCGCCTAATCAGTCATCTGGGTCCTGACCTTAAACAGATCTGACCCCTGCTTCTACACATTGTCCCCCTCTTCTCTACCTACCTGGAGAGGGTGTTTTCTCTCCTGAGCTCCCCTCGCCAGGGCCTGGGCTCCCTTTCTGAGGCTTCACCCACAGCAGCAGCAGGAGGGCTGTCAGGAATGCTGCCCTGCAGAGCTGTGAGCCCAGAGAAGTCATGGGCCTGTCCCCTCGCCCCCTAGCCCCCACGCTGCTGCAGGCCTTCCCTGACCCAGTGCCCAGCAGGCTCCCCCCACCTCCTGCTTCCTTCCTGTCCCTGTCCCAGCCCTTATCCCTTCCTAGCATCATTTTCTCCCCTTCTCTTCCATAGGACCTCTAACTTCATGTGCTTTGTGACATCACAGCCATGAGCTTGACCCTCATTCCAGCTTACTAGAGTGTTCCACTGCCAGGTGACAGAGTGGAGAACAGCCAGCGGGGGGGGGGGGGGGGGGGGGGGCTTGAGGTCGGCATATTTTA